TTGTCCTCAATGCTAACTAGCCAAAATAAGCTCAAAGAGAATAGAGAGAAAAGAAAACTCCCTATGGGTCCTCCGTCTACATGGGGTCATGAGCCTGGGTCCCTGGGTCCCGTGACTACTCGGGAACCTGTGACTGGATCCCTGTAACCTGTGCTTGCTCTGGGACCTGAGGCTGGCTAGAGGAACCTCCCTACGGGTCCTCCAACTCAATCATTGCATCGTCTGCCTGGGGGATCACTCTCCTCCTCTTTGGTGCCCTCTCCAACTCCTTCTCCTGCTCTGGCTCAGTTTGATGCAACACTAGATCCAATGGTAGATGATCAGCAACCTTCATCTTCTCCACTTCTCCCCTCAACTCCTTCACAGACTCCTTTGAGGCTCGAGTCTTTCTCAGCTTCTTCGTCTCCTTGGTCAGCTCCTTCAGTGACTTTCCGTGAGCACCTATAGCATCCAGAATCAACTGCTGGTTCTCCAGGAGCTTCTTCTGGTTGTCCAGAAACTCCTTGAGAGTCTCCTCCACTGAAGCTGGAACCTGTGGCTGTGGGGGTACGAACTGGGCTGCCACCAAGCTAGAAAGCACAGACAGCTTAGAAGTAGCTGCCTGCATCCAGTTGTTGATACTGGCAAGTGTTTGGCTCAAACGGTGGGCAGTCAATGAGTAGGCTGAGGATGATGGGATATCTGGAGCAGTGGAAGTAGAAGGCCCGGATGTGGGAACTGGTATGGCAGGGGAAGGCTGGGCAGCAGTGACTACCACTACTGGCTCATCAGATTGGCCAGTAGTAGAAGTAGTGGCTTTTCCCTTAGGATCTTTGGCTTTAGGGTTGTCAACAACCTTGAGGCTGTACCAGGTAAAGGGCATTTTGGGTTTCACCTTCAAGTCAAAGCTTCTTTTCTCCACCTCCTGGTCTTCAAAATACATTGTAAAAAAATTTGGGAAGGGGTATGATCTGTCACCCTCATTGACCACCCTAATGATCACCCTAGACATAACATTCCCGACATTGATCTGGAACCCCGCTATAATAGATGCCACCAATATTGCCCGGGAGACCGGCATAGAGTTTTCATGGGTAGTGGGGTCCAGCCTCCTGCATACAAAAGTCTCCCACCCTTTTGCCTCAAAATTTAGATTCTTCCTCAAGATTGCAACTCCTGCTGTCAACCATGCTGGGATGGTGCCCGGGAGAGCTAGATATGATGCTAACCATGGACGGGCTACCTTATCAAGTGCAAATTTCTCCAAGTATAATGATTCATCTTCTTCAGGAAAGCCCAGGTACTCATTAATTGTTTTTCCATCGAACATCACTTTCAAGTTCCGCACTTTAGTCACTTTGGTATTCTTCTTGATGTGGGCAACATTGGCGTAAAACTCTTTGACTAAGTGCTCGTTTGCCTCTGGCACCCTGCTGGTCAAGTAATCCCACCCTGGTCGTTCTCTGAATTGCCTCTTCATATTAGGGTTGTGAGGTAGGAGATCCCTCTGTATGAACTGGCGCTCAATAATAAGCAACCGCAGAGGCCACCATTCCCGAAACTTGTGGTATGCCAGCTCATTGACAAACCTCCTTTACCATATCTCGGGGTTTCTAGTTCTCTCCACACCCCCGGGTTGGGGTTCTCCCTCTTCTTTTTCATCAATGGGATCCTCACCGGGTGACGAAGTTTAGGTGAAGTAGAGGCTGCACTGTCACTGCTCTCTACTGAGCCCTCAGACGACTCAGATGAAACCTGAACTGAAGCACGAGCAGTAGGAGAGCCTGGAGGCGTAGGTGAATCTCTCAAACGAAGACTTTCCGGGAAGTCAGGTACATACTCTGGCACTGAATCAGACTCAGATGCCTCTCGGGATGGCAAATACTCACTTCCCTCAGAATGGGAAGCAACTCTATTTGCAGCCTTGATGAGTTTTCTGGTTTCCCCAATTGCTTTCCGAGCTGCTGGGTTCAATTTGATCATGCCACGCCCCCTACCCCGGGAAGACTCTGCTCTACCCTTCGGTTTGTCACCACCTACTCTTGATTTAACCATTGTCTACAAGGAGAATTCAGTTAACATTTCTTAGTATCAGTACCCGAAGAAATAGTTGACCGCGGACCGCGGAAATGCATCGAGGCCGCAAAGAGACCACCGCGGACCGCGAAGAATTAACCGCGGCTGCGGTGAGTTGGAATTCAGACTACCCACCCTCTGATTCAGGTTCACTGCGGACCGCCAAAAATGATGCGCGGCCGCGGTAAGGCACCGCGGACCGCACAAAATCAACGGCGATCGCGGTATGCAAAATGAGGTAACAAGACCTAGGGTTTAAAATTTTTGTGCATTTTAGCCTTAATGAACATATTATCAACCCACTAGGTAGTTAATTGCCATGTTTGACTAATTAAAACCTAATCTAAATAATATTATATAACCCTAAGTTAAAAATTGAAAGAAAAATGAAGAAGAAGAAGTAGGAACTATAAAAAAAAAGAATATAAAAACAAAACTAAAGACTAAGGATAGATTTTAATGACCAGAAGTAAGATGCAACACAGATGATTGAAAATTAGTACTTGAATTTGTGCAACTTAGGGTTCTGATGAACAGTGTTTGGGCCTCTTTAGAGTGAAAATGAGCGAAAAGTGTAAAATGAGGCCTGGGGGTCTATTTTATCGAAAAAGACCTGGGGCCAACACTACTTACCCACCGCAGTCGCAGAAAATCCACTGCGGACCGCGGTTATGAAACTTAGATGGGCACAGGCATGGACTTCACCGCGGACCGCAAATAATGCATCGCGGCCGCAGTAAAGCACCGCGGACCGCGAAAAATGCATTGCGGCCGCGGTTGAAACTTCAGAGACTTATCACTTTGGCACATTTGGCACCGCTGACCGCGGTCAATCACCGACTCCGCGGCTGCAAAAAATGCATCGCGGCAGCGGTCCATACTTCAGAGAGTGCAACATTTTTCCAATTTGGTCCTGCACTGCATCAAAAAAATCCCTACACACATCTCACAACCAGTTAGTCCAAAACAGATCCTACACTAAGAATGAAATCAAAAAGAAAGAAATAAAAACACATGGGTTGCCTCCCAAGAAGCGCCTGATTTAACATCGCGGCACGATGCAGGTTACCATCAAATCACTTGAGATGGATCATTACCAATACGTGGCTGTCATCAATCTTGCCAAGATAGTGCTTTACTCTGTGCCCATTAACTCTGAAGATCTCTCCATTTTTGTTTTTCAAGTCAAGTGCACCAAATGGAGTCACAAGCACCACTTCAAAAGGTCCACTCCATTTCGACTTAAGCTTTCCCGAAAACAGACGTAACCGAGAATTGAACAAGAGAACCAAATCACCCACTTTGAACTCTTTGCCACGAGCATATTTTTCATGAAGGTACTTCATCTTATCCTTATACAAGAACGAACTGGAGTAGGCATGAAATCTGAATTTGTCAAGTTCATTAAGCTGCTCCACACGAAGATTTGCTGCCACATCCCATTCAAGATTTATTTTCCTCAAAGCCCACATGGCCTTGTGTTCCAACTCAACCGGTAGATGGCAAGCTTTCCCGAACACCAACCGGTACGGAGACATACCAATTAGAGTCTTATAGGCAGTCCTATAAGCCCATAGAGCATCATCCGATTTCTTTGACCAATCGGTCCTATTTGCATTGACCGTCTTTGACAATATACTCTTGATTTCCCTGTTTGAGACTTCAACTTGGCCACTCGCCTGAGGATGATAAAGGATAGAAACTATATGATTGACATCGTACTTTGCAAGCAAAGTGTCAAAAGCTCTATTGCAAAAATGAGACCCCCCATCACTTATGATTGCTCGAGGAGTGCAAAATCTAGTAAAAATACTCTTCTTGAGAAACGCAACAACACTCCGGGCCTCATTATTGGGTAAAGCCACAACCTCAACCCACTTTGAAACATAGTCAACTACCACTAGAATGTATGTGTTGCCACATGAACTAACAAACAGGCCCGTGAAATCAATGCCCCATACATCAAAGATATCAACTTCGAGAATCGTGGTGAGAGGCATCTCATCCTTCTTTGAAATTCCACCCGCTCTTTGACATTCGTCGCATCTCTTCACAAGTTCACTTGCATCCTTGTACAATGTTGGCCAGTAAAAACCACAACTAAGAACCTTTGAAGCTGTCCTCGCCCCACCATGATGACCACCGTAGGGAGAGGAATGACAAGCCTTTAAAATACTCAACTGCTCCTCCTCCGGGACACATCTCTAGATCACACCGTAAGTGCAGATCTTGAACAAGTAAGGCTCATCCCAATAGTAGTCCAAACTATCCCGTTTAAGCTTCTTCCTTTAGTTAGAAGAGAGCTCACACGGTACAATACTAGTCTCAAGGAAGTTGGCCACATCCGCGAACCATGGCATGCTATTCACTGATACGGAGAGGAGTTGCTCATCAGGGAAAGAATCATTAATTTCAAGGCCATCAAGGGGCCTCCCCTCCTCCTCCAAGCGGGACAAGTGGCCCGCCACTTGGTTTTCACATCCTTTGCGATCTACAATCTCTAAGTCGAACTCTTGAAGTAATAAAACCCATCTCATCAATCGTGCTTTGGAGTCCTTCTTGGTCATCAAGTAGCGAAGTGCAGCATGGTCAGTATGAATTATCACCTTAGCCCCCATGAGATAGGGCCTAAATTTCTCCATTGCAAACACAATCGCCAACAACTCTTTTTCCGCCATCGTGTAATTCACTTGAGCATCATTCATTGTTTTGCTTGCATAATACACCGGGTGAAACATTTTATTCACTCTTTGGCCCAAGGTCGCTCCAACCGCAACATCACTCGCGTCACACATGAGCTCAAAAGGCAAGCTCCAAGTGGGTGCGGTAATAATAGGAGTGGTGGTCAACTTGTACTTGAGGATTTCAAAAGCTGTTATGCATTCCTCATTGAACACGAACTTCGCATCCTTTTCCAAAAGTTTGCACAAAGGATTCACTACCTTCGAAAAGTCCTTGATAAATCTCCGGTAGAACCCCGCATGCCCAAGAAAACTTCTAACCCCCTTGACTGAAGTAGGGGGAGGAAGCCTTGAAATCACTTCAATTTTGGCCTTGTCCACCTCTATTTCGTTCTTTGAAATCTTATGGCCGAGGACAATGCCCTCCTCGATCATGAAGTGGCATTTTTCCCAGTTGAGCACGAGATTTGTCTCTTCACACTGTGCTAACACTTTGTCAAGGTTCTTCAAACATTCATTAAAGGAGTCACCCACCACGCTGAAGTCATCCATAAACACTTCTAAGAAATCCTCTACCATGTCGGTAAAAATAGTCATCATACACTGCTGGAAGGTAGCCGGTGCATTACACAACCCAAAAGGCATCCTGGAAAATGCAAAGGTCCCGTATGGGCAGGTGAAGGTAGTTTTCTCCTGATCCTCCGGGGCAATTAATATCTGGTTGTAGCCTGAGTACCCATCCAGAAAACAGTAAAAGGCACGCCCCGCAAGTCTATCTAGCATCTGGTCAAGAAAGGGCAATGGGAAGTGATCCTTTCGGGTCACTTTATTCAACTTGCGGTAATCTATGCACACCCGCCATCCAGTGACAGTCTTGGTAGGAATCAACTCATTTTGCTCATTAGTCACCACAGTCATACCACCCTTCTTCGGCATACATTTCACCGGAGAAGTCCAAGAACTATCCGAGATGGGGTACACAACCCCTGCATCAAGCCACTTGATCACCTCCTTTTTGACAACCTCTCGCATCGCCTTGTTCAACCTCCTTTGATGTTCCACGGAGGGCTTTGAACCATCTTTGAAAATAATCTTGTGCATGCAAAAGGCGGGGCTTATTCCCCGAATATCCACTAGAGTCTATCCAATTGCCTTCTTCCGTCTTTGGAGCACCACAAATGTGGCATCTACCTGCATGTTAGTAAGACAAGAGGAAAGAATAACTGGAAAAGTTGAACTGGGGCCTAAAAATTCATACCTGAGGTGTGAAGGCAAAGGCTTCAACTCCAATACGGGAGGTTCCTCAATTGAGGGCTTTGTTGGGGGAGTTTTTCTGTTCTCAAGATCTAGAGAAAGCTTACGGGGCTCATAAGAATAAGACCCCATACCATGTAAAGCATTGACACACTCCACCCTTCCTTCATCTTCATTGACATCTAAGTTCAACAATACTGCCTCTAGAGGATCCTCCACATTTATCATGGCACTGGTATCATCAATGATCACCTCCGTGACAAGATCCACAAAGGAGCACACTTCCTTGCTATTTGGTTGCTTCATTGATTTGCACACATGAAAGACTACTTTTTCATCACCCACCCAGAAGGTCAGTTCCCCTGCTTCCACATAAACTAAAGCCTTCCCAGTTGCAAGGAAAGGTCTTCCCAAGATTATAGGCACCTCATAATCGACCTCGCAGTTGAGAATCACAAAATCTGCCGGCAAGATAAATTTGTCCACCCGGACTAGAACATCATCAATTATACCCAAAGTCTTGAAAACGGAGTAAGGCATCAAGTTGATACTTGCCCCCAAATCACATAGAGCTTTTGCAAAGTTTGCACTCCCAATGGTGCAAGGAATGGTGAAAGCGCTGGGATCTTCTAGCTTCAGAGCCATCGAGTGCACTATTGCACTAACTTGGTGGGTCATCTTGATGGTCTCACAATCCATGGATCTTTTCTTTGTCACCAAGTCTTTCATGAACTTGGCGTAACCCGGCATTTGTTCTAGAGCCTCCACCAAAGGAACATTAATTGATAAGCTCTTCATCATGTCAATAAATTTCTTAAACTGGTTCTCATTTTTCTGGTTCGCGAGCCTTTGAGGATAAGGTGGAGGTGGCCTTGGCAAAGGATCCTTGGCTTTAGGCACAACCGTTTCTGGCATGTCTATTACATGTTCCCTAGACGGGTTCACATCATTCTAAGTTTTCAACTCGTTATCTTGGATATCAATACGCACTTCCTCATTCAAGTTCACATCAGTCACATTCTCAACCACCAAAGGGATATCATCCTCTTGCAACTCAACTTCATCACTCAAAATTTCTTTTTGTTTGGAGGCATTCACATCACCGCCTCGTCCACTTCTTATAGTCACCGCCATTGCATGCCAGGTATTGTTCCCACCCCTCGGGTTGACTACCGTATCACTAGGTAGAGCCCCCTTAGGGCGAGTATTCAAAGATTGTGAGATTTGGCCTAATTGAACTTCCAAGTTTCTGATTGAAGTATTGTGGGATGCCAACTGGGCATAAGAGTCAGCATTCTTTTTCAACATCTGTTCAAACATCATTTCGATTCTCCCCATTTCATTGTTGGATGAACTAGGACCTTGGGATGGAAATGGGGGTGGATTGTTCGGTTGTTGATACATCGGGGGCCTTTGAAAGCCTTGCCCCCGATTTCCATGATTGCTATTGTTCCAACCACCCTAATTGTTGTTTCCACCCCAGTTGTTGTTGTTGCCACTCCAGTTCTTGTTGTTGCTACTCCAATTACCCTGATTGTTCTGGTTGCCCCAATTTGAATTTTGGTTGTTGTTCCCCTAATTACTATTCCCTTGTTGTTGTTGATTTCCCTAATTGCCTTGGGATCTCCATTGTTGTTGTTGGTTAGAAGAATTGCCCCTTTGGCCCTGATAGTTGTTCACGTATTGCACTTCTTCATTCTGGTCATCATACCCATCATCTTGGAACCAACCACTATCTTGGTCATATTGATCCGAACTCCCTTGGTTCTGTTGACCTCTTTGTCTTCTTTTGTTCACTAACATGTTGACACCCTCCATAGATTTACTTGTCGTGGAGTTTGAACCTGCTGTAATTGTGCCTTTGCTAGCTGGTTCATTATTGTTGCCAGTTCTGCTATTGCCTGCCCATGATCATGGAGCTCTTTGTGCAAGTGAATGACCATGGGGTCACCCTATGGCACATTGGCTCGACTTTGCCAAGCGGAGGAAGTGTCCGCCATCTCATCCAGTATCTCACAAGCTTGATCATACGCTGTGTTCATGAAATTGCCCCCGGCGAGTTGGTTCACTGTGCACTGATTTGTTGTGTTAATGCCTCGGTAGAATGTCTGTTGTATCATTGCCTCAGTCATATCATTATTTGGGCATTCCTTCACCATAGTCCGGTATCTCTCCCATATCTCATGTAGTGGTTCGTCGGGCTCCTATTTGAAAGCTAAGATTTCATCCCTCAAGGTTGCCATGTGACCCGGCGAGAAAAACTTTGCAATGAATTTATCCTCCAACTCATCCCATGTATGGATGGTGTGGTTGGGAAGTCTCTCCAGCCAATCTAATGCTTTCCCTCGAAGAGAGAAAGGGAATAATCTCAACCGTAAGGCATCCTCGGACACATTCGTTTGCTTGCCCCCCAAAATTTATCAACAAATCCTTTAAGGTGCTTGTAAGCATTTTGATGGGGAGCACCCATGAAATACCCTCGCTGCTCCAACAATTTCAACATCACGTTGGTAATCTGAAAATTGCCCGCCCGGTTCCGGGGCGGGACAATTGCACTAGCGTAGCCCTGGTTTGGAAGCACTCAAGGTACAGCTCTTGGAGGTGGTGGGGGAGGATCTGGAATATTATTATCATTGGCCTCTCGGCCTCTCCTTTGTCCTTGAGGTACTAGAGGTACCTCTTCCTCTCCATTGTCATCAACCTCCTCCCCTGGTGGAATATCTTCGAGAGGTGCGTTGTTTGCCATATTTTAGTACCTGAATGGATAATTCACCCAAGTAAGTAATCAAGAAGGAAATAAAAACTAAACACAAAACTAGATAGATAGAAAGCCAAAAATCGTTTAGCTCCCCGGCAACGGCGCCAAAAAGTGATCGGGTCCAATCCTACACCACTACAAAGTGGCAAGAGCGGTCGATGCAGCTTTTACCCGAGAAGGTCGGGATCGAATCCCCATGGAGCTAGAATGTTTGGAAATTGAGTTCATATCTATACTAGTAACGTGCAAAGTAATTTTTTACACTTCTAAACATGCGTTTATGGTTCACTAATCTAGATTATCACTAATGATGCTAAAATTAAGCTAAGTATGATATCTTTTTGTGAGGTTTTCTTAATTTATGGAAAGGCACTAGGGAAGTGACTTTGCCAAGGTGAATACTTGACAGGTTCTAAAGTCAAAGGCAAAGTTATTGATGGCGTCCAAATCCACTACTAAAAAGTAAATGGACACGGTCGCATGCAATATAATTAACCCAACCATGAGTCGGGGTCAAATCCCACAGAGAACAATATATAGGCGATTAGGAATGTAAGAGAATTATCACTTGTTATGCAATGCCAAACACTTAGAATTTGTTTTGAGAAAATATTTATACCTAATTGCGGAAATGTAAACTAACCTAGAAATCAAGTAAAATGATAAATGGCTACAAGTATGGATGCATCGGGAATTACACTCAAGTAACGATCCAATGTATTTCATGATTTTACAAATATGAGCGAGTTTATGTTAATTAGCCGCGGGTAATAATTCTATATTAGCTTCTTCCGAAGACTAACAAGACTTCCTAATTGAATTATCCCTAAAACAATTAGGAGATTGAGCACACCCGGATATGGCTACAAGTAGTTCAATCCTATCCCTAGGTAGAATCTATAAAATGAGGGTTAAAGCCTCAAGTTCTTGTTAATTAATCTTTCCTAACCCCAAGTAATCTTTTCCAAAATTAATTCGGAGTAAATGGGTGAGTCCTAGGGTTAGCTATTCCCTTTGGAAACATTAAAGAACAAGAATAATTAAAGTAACAAATACTCACTTCATAAAAGGATAAAAATCATTCAATACATAAGCACAACAAGGTATATAATCCACACTTTAAATATGAATATTCCCATAAACAAGATTCAAGTGTTGGATAAAATACTACACACTTAGATATACAATACAAAGCAAGAAAATGAAGAAATATGCATAAATGAGTAAGAAATTTTCAACCAAAAGCTTCAAATCTTCAAGACCCAAGTGTGTGTGCAAACCCTAGCTTCCAAAACTTGTTCTCTCTAGCCCTAAGACTGAAAATATGCCAAAAGATTCTGCCAAAGATATTTTACAAATGAGCTAAGTCGGGTATTAAATGGTTTGGGGCCAAAAATGTGAAATTCTAGAATTGCCCAGGTCTGCTGCTCGACTTTCGCATTTGCGAACATAAGTTCGCAATTGCGAACTATGCCTATACTGCTCCACTTCGCATTTGCGATAGATGCTTCGCATTTGCGAAGGTTGACTGCTTGGGTTTACTTTGCATTTGTGAAGTCTTCTTCGCATTTGCGAAGGCTGCCTAAATGGTCTTCCTTCACATTTCCCATGCTTTACTCGCAATTCCCAGCACTGATTTCTTCGCAATTCCTAGGATCATGTCGCATTTGCGACAACTGAAGCCCTTTTCCAGATTTTCTTCTTTTTAGCTTCTTTTTTGACTCGTTTCACTTGGTTTCCTCAAGATCACCTCTAAATCATATAGAACCTGTAATATAGAAGTAAATGGCATTAAACACGAGATTTTATCACTCAAACATAGCAAAAATATAGGTTTAAAGACAAGATAAGTTGGTAAAATACCAACTTATCAGTTGTTATGTTTGGAATTGCGATATAGACAATTCAAGAAACTACTCGCTCTATACCTCTCGGTAGCTTGAGTTGCCCTAATTGGCTTTCTCCAGACCAATTGGGTGTCAAAATTGTGCAAGCAATATAGGCTCAAGTCGGGTAATAC